GAAGATTTAGCAAAGCTACGCCCTCTGCTATTCCTCGAACTTTCCTCCATGTTTGACAGTGCTGGTATACCGTTTCATAAAGGAAAACCACATAAACGCAAAAGAAGAGAAGGTAATTAAAACGAACGGAGACAAACGTAACGAGTATCAACTATAGTTAATTATCGCTGTTCGTTGTTGCTTTGTTAGAAGGTACCATTTTTGGTGTTTCGTTGTCAACGCTCGTCGACCGGGATGAGGCTATCGCCAACCGCCGCGTACAAGTACCTTTGATTGTCCAGAAGGTTCTCGGACAGTTGGAAAAACGTGGATTGGGTGAGCAAGGTCTGTTGCGTATGGCAGCCCCAAAAGCGAAAGTCGATAAACTGTGTTGTGCTGTTGAGAAGTTTTTCTATGCCAAGCACGAAGAAGCTGATCAGCTGTTAGAAAAATGTTCTGTACATGATCTAGTTGCTTTTCTGAAACGTTTGCTCAGAGACCTGCCCGGGTTATTGCTCACCCACGAGCTGGTCAACTTGTTTTACCAGAGCTACTGTAAGTATCTATAGTAACCGGCACTCGTTTGTATGCCTTACGAACTGAGTGGCTAGGGAGAGTATATGCWTAATATACCTCATTATATTAATCTTAACTTGCAGCTGTACCCGACACTGTGAGGGCTCTAAACCTATTGGTGCTACTGTTACCTACAGAGAACAGGGCCACATTGCGTGCCCTATTGCAGTTCATGTCTAAACTGGTCGAATATCAGCAAAGACATGTCCTAGAAAATAAAATGACCGAACATAACGTGGCCATGATCATCGCACCGTCTCTATTCCCTCCTAGGTAAGATACAAAGTATGAAACGAAATCCGTAARTGYAAAAGTTATAATCATATTTGTTTCATTATTATAGGTCTGTGCATTTGGAGAAAAAAGACTTGCAGTCACATCTGGACCAGGCTGCCCGTAGCTGTCGTCTAACCGAAACTCTAATGAACCACATCGAAGAGTTATGCCTAGTTCCTAACGACCTTATGACCCAGCTTAGACATAACAATGAACTGTACCAATGCAGACTGAAAGAAAACAATAATCCAGTGAGTATTTATTTAAAACACTAAAAAGATAATCCAGAAATTATTAAATAACCGTTATTTTTTATCAATTTATTATATATATATATATTTTTTTTTACTTTAATAATCTTTATTTATTTCAGGTAAGAAGGTTCCTTGGCAAAAAGAAAACGGATATTGTCACCAAAAAGATCAACAATGAGGTAGATTATCAAGACGGCGTGGTCCGCGTTGATGCACCTCAATTTCGGATTTCCGGTATTCCATTGTTCTTATCTGATTCAACCACAGTCGGCGACGTTATACTTAAGTAAGTATATTTCATAAGCCATTATCGAATTATTATCATAATATAATATATTATTTCAACATCAGATGTATCATATATTATTTTTTATGWATGAATAACTAATTTAATATGCTTTTTAAGGATTGTGGAAGAAGCTGCTAAGCAAACAGTAACGAAAAACGGRCACATGGCTAAATCTGGCCGCAAGGACCTCAAGTCAAGGGCATTAACTGAACTTGCTCCTAATGGAAACTTGTCGTGCTTGTTAACAACTGCTGATCCTGATATGGCCACTCGGACACATTTCTTATATGAGACTGGTGGAAATATCGGTAAGGCGTAACATTTAATTGCTCAAATTATAAAAAAAAAAATGTATCAATTCTATATTTGACTTTTCACTGAACAATTCTGTATATTTACTTACAACTTAATGATGAACATTTTAAGTTATTTYGAATTACATCATATTAGTTTTTATTATGGTTTTATGTATCTATTCAAATTAGAAGTTTATACTTTTAAAATAAATAGACATAATATATAAATCATCGTTCATCACATTCGAATAATAATTTTTAGA